GTACATCCGTCAATTGCTCACTGTGCAAGAAGGATAAACACGGGCTATACAGATGTCCCGAATTTCTGAGATTGTCGGTGCCGCGTAGGTGGGACGTCGTAAGAAGGACTAGGATTTGCAAAAATTGCCTTCGTTCACACAGTGGTCGTTGCGACCGGTCACTATGTAGAATCTGCAGTAAATCCCATAACACACTTTTGCATAATACGCTAGTTAAAACATCTTCCTCGAAACAAGATACTTCAAAGACCGAAGCCACAAATTCTTCGGACCAATCGGGTGCCGCGTCGTTTAAATCAGATTGACTAAAATCGGCTCGCATTCTAAACGCGATATCCCAAGATCCCCAATCGCAACTAATGATGAGCGCAGTAGTTCGTGTCAAGAATGCGTCCGGAAATTTCATACAGTGTCGTGCCTTATTAGATACCTGCGCAACAGCACATTTTGTAACGGAGGAGTTTGCCCGAAGCATAAGGCTACCGGTACGTCCGTGTCGTATTCCAGTCGGCGCGATTGACGACATGAACACCACATCGAACGGTGCGATTGAATTTTCCTTTCACCTCGATTCACAATGATTTCCAGAAAAAACTTTTATTTTTGATAGTCCCGAAAATCGCAGAAAGAGTTCCGAACGCGACGTTTCCACGCGAAACAATTGATATACCGTCGAATTTAAGGCTAGCAGATCCACAGTTTCATTTACCTCGACCGGTCGATATAATCATCGGATCCGGGGCAACTCTGTCCTTATTATCAATCGGACAAATTAATCTTTCTCGAGACAATTGTGATTTATTTTTACAAAAGACTCAGCTTGGATGGGTCGTTGTCGGCGGGGCAACGTCCCCCGACGGAAGGGGAATTGTCTCATGTAAATTAACAGAATTGACGGAACAAATCGCGAAATTCTGGCTTTTGGAAGACACAACCGCGAAACCATTTGAAGTATCGGAGGACCCGGAATGCGAACTTCATTTCACACAGAACACGACACGTGATAATTCCGGGCGTTACACCGTGCGACTACCGTTTTGTCCAGCGGAACGAGAATTTGGAAATTCGCGAGCGATTGCGTTGCGTCGGTTTTACGGACTCCGGAAGAGGCTCGACGCTAATCCAGTACTTAAACAAGAGTACGAACGCGTAATGAACGAATACAGTGACTTAGGCCACATATCGTTGATATCAGACGAAGCCGAGGGCGGATATTATCTCCCTCACCACGCAATTACAAAATCCACAAGCAATACGACAAAAGTGAGAGTTGTTTTCGACGCTTCGGCGAAAACCAATAAAGGAATATCGCTTAATGATACGTTAATGACCGGTCCCACAATTCAGAGTAAGCTTTTCGAACATCTGGTGCGATTCCGCACACATAGATATGTACTCACTGCCGACATCGAGAAAATGTACCGGCAAATTTGGGTGCATCCGAACGACCGCCAATATCAGAAGGTCTTTTGGTATCACGAGAGTCATATTCGTACTTTTCAACTGAATACCGTTACTTTCGGCGTATCATCAGCTCCCTTTCTCGCCATCCGAACGTTACAGCAACTTGCGAGTGACGAGAGCAAGGACTTTT